TGCAGCATCGCCATAAACTTGCCAAGTCATGTCAGACGTCTCTGCAGAAGATCTGCCAGTTTTCATGCAGAATTTCATGTGGAATTTTTGTTGTCAATACGGCGACCTTTGAGCTGGATCTTCATCTTCAGGCGTTGAGCCAGTTGAAGGTCTTCCTCTCGTCATCTTCCAGTGATGTTCTTCCGCTCTTGAAGCACGTGTGCCACTCAGAACACCTCGATCAACTCGTTGCAGCATCACTGTAAACTTGCCGAATCATGTCAGACGTCTCTGACGCAGATTTGCCTGGTTTCATGCAGAATTTCACGTTGGCTCTTTGTTGTCAATACGGCGACCTTTCAGCTGGATCTTCATCTTCGGGAAGAGGACATTTTCGGGGGTTGAGCTCGTTGAAGGTCTTCCTGATCTCTCCTCATCTTCCAGTGATGTCCTTCCGCTCTTGAAGCGCACGTGCCACTCAGAACACCTCGATCGACTCATCGCAGCAATGCCATAAACTTGCCGAATCATGTCAGACGTCTCTGCAGAAGATCTGCCCGGTTGCACAAAGAACTTCACGTTGGCACTTTGTTGTCAATACGGCGACCTTTGAGCTGGATCTTCATCTTCAGGAGTTGAGCCAGTTGAAGGTCTTCCTGATCTGTCATCATCTTCCAGTGATGTTCTTCCGCTCTTGAAGCACGTGTGCCACTCAAAACACCTCGAATCGACTTGTCGCAGCATCGCCGTAAACTTGCCGAATCATGCCAAACGTCTCTGACGCAGATTTGCCCGGTTTCACGCAGAATTTCACGCTGGCTCTTTGTTGTCAGAACAGAGACCTTTGAGCTGGATCTTCATCTTCGGGAAGAGGACATTTTCGAGGGTTGAGCTCGTTGAAGGTCTTCTTGATCTCTCGTCATCTTCCAGTGATGTTCTTCCGCTCTTGAAGCGCACGTGCCACTCAGAACACCTCGATCGACTCATCGCAGCAATGCCATAGACTTGCCGAGTCATGTCAGACGTCTCTGTGGCAGACCTGACGGTTTCATGTAGAATTTCATGTTTGCGCTTTGATCTAGCTTGCTGTTCATGATAAAATATCAGACGTGGTAACGCACGCGGTCAGAATAGCACCAGTTGCACAGCTCCCAATGTACACAGGACGATGTCTTTTGGCACACTGACTTGTGAAGGTCAGTGCTCTCTGTGACTGTGTGTGCAGCATGTGGTCAGAATAGCACCAGTTGCACAGCTCCCGATGTGCCCCAGTTTCACGCAGAATTTCACGTTGGCTCTTTGTTGTCAGAACAGAGACCTTTGAGCTGGATCTTCATCTTCAGGAAGAGGACATTTTTGGGGGTTGAGCTCATTGAAGGTCTTCCTGATCTCTTGACCTGTGAAGGTCGGTGCTCCCTGTGACTGTGCGTGCAGCCTTGTGCTGCCATCTGTTGGCATTTTACAAAGCAAGTATCCAAACTTTCTGATCCCGCCTCGTACAGAGAGTTGATGCATATGGATTCACACACCCCACACATGTACATGGGCCCCATCACACACTTTTCTGCCCCGGTGTTCCTCCTGCAATACTCAGGCTTGAACAGGGATGGGCTGGAGGCATCATGGGAGGAGATCACACGCTCACACGTACTGGGAGACAGGGTCAGGCCGTTGTCACCCTATGACAGGAAGTGCTGGAACAGCCACATGTACGCTCCATCAAAGTTTTTTTAGGGTGACAACGCATTGCATAACTGGGAGACAGGGCTAAAGTGTTGTCACTCTGTGACAGGAAGTGCCTAAACAGGGAACTTCATGGCAGGATCACCAGATGCAGGCTCTGATGGGACATTGGAGAAGATGAGGATAGGTGGGTTGGAGGGGGAGGGGTTATATAATACATGGAAGTGTCCTTTACTCCATCTGTGGTGTGAATGAGCCCCAATGGGGGACTTTTGGGTCGCCGCCAATATGACAACAAAGAGATACGTTTTGTTATTCTTCAGTATTTTCTCCACATTTATTGAACGTTTCTATAAAATGTAATACAATGTAATAAAATGTGTACACGCTGTGCAGCATGGGCGGAGCCTCTCATTGTGCGTCATCGCATTCACACTGATTGGTTGCAGCTTATGGACGCAAAATACAAAAGCAGGAAAGGGGCAGAGCCAGCACCAAACAGGGGGGGGAGCTCTATCTTCTAGTGGGGGAGGGGGGGTGTATGTGAAAGATCAACCCCCAGCAACATAAGACCCCCTCCAGCAACATAAGACCCCCAGCAACAGTAGACCCAACTGGAACATAGACCCACCTCAGCAACAATAGACCCACCCCAGCAACATAAGACCCACCACAGCAACAATAGACCCACCACAGCAACAATAGACCCCCTCCAGCAACATATGACCCCCAGCAACATAAGACCCACCACAGCAACAACAGACCCACCACAGCAACAACAGTAGACCCACCTCAGCAACAACAGACCCACCCCAGCAACAGTAGACCCAACTGGAACATAGACCCACCCCAGCAACATAAGACCCACCCAGCAACATAAGACCCCCCCCCAGCAACATAAGACCCACCACAGCAACAATAGACCCACCACAGCAACAATAGACCCCCTCCAGCAACATAAGACCCCCCAGCAACATAAGACCCACCACAGCAACAGACCCACCACAGCAACAACAGTAGACCCACCTCAGCAACAACAGACCCACCCCCAGCAACAGTAGACCCAACTGGAACATAGACCCCACCCCAGCAACATAAGACCCCCTCCAGCAACATAAGACCCCCAGCAACAGTAGACCCAACTGGAACATAGACCCACCTCAGCAACAATAGACCCACCCCAGCAACATAAGACCCACCACAGCAACAATAGACCCCCTCCAGCAACATATGACCCCCAGCAACATAAGACCCACCACAGCAACAACAGACCCACCACAGCAACAACAGTAGACCCACCTCAGCAACAACAGACCCACCCCAGCAACAGTAGACCCAACTGGAACATAGACCCACCCCAGCAACATAAGACCCCCCCAGCAACATAAGACCCCCCCCAGCAACATAAGACCCACCACAGCAACAATAGACCCACCACAAAAACAATAGACCCCCTCCAGCAACATAAGACCCCCCAGCAACATAAGACCCACCACAGCAACAACAGACCCACCACAGCAACAACAGTAGACCCACCTCAGCAACACAGACCCACCCCAGCAATAGTAGACCCAACTGGAACATAGACCCACCCCAGCAACATAAGACCCCCCCAGCAACATAAGACCCCCCCAGCAACAACAGACCCACCTCAGCAACAACAGACCCACCTCAGCAACAACAGTAGACCCACCACAGCAACAACAGTAGACCCCCAGCAACAACAGACCCGTGCCAGAATCAAGTTTAGTGAAAAAAAAATATTTAAATGTAAAAGTTAAAGTTACACCCAAAGACTTAAAATTTCCTCACACCCAAAAAATGTTTGAGCCCCGCCCTTCCGTACTAATGTAAAAACACGCGTCAGGGAAGCCTACACATGGAAATGTTGACTGGGCTACACTTTACATACTACCGCACACGCTGGAGTCAGATCAATCATTCTCAGCCCATTATTCACAGTTGTCACCTATGGAAAGTAGAGGACTGAAGTCTGCTACCATTTCACAGGCATGTTGTCAGGTATCTACACTATACTGTCCAAAGTATTGTCCCCATCCCCCAAATCATGTGATTCAGGTGTTCCAAACCCCTCCCAATCATGTGATTCAGGTGTTCCAAACCCCTCCCAATCATGTGATTCAGGTGTTCCAATCCCCTCCATATCATGTGATTCAGGTGTTCCAAACCCCTCCCAATCATGTGATTCAGGTGTTCCAATCCCCTCCATATCATGTGATTCAGGTGTTCCAAACCCCTCCCAATCACGTGATTCAGGTGTTCCAATCCCCTCCATATCATGTGATTCAGGTGTTCCAAACCCCTCCCAATCATGTGATTCAGGTGTTCCAATCCCCTCCATACCATGTGATTCAGGTGTTCCAAACCCCTCCCAATCATGTGATTCAGGTGTTCCAATCCCCTCCCAATCATGTGATTCAGGTGTTCCAATCCCCTCCATATCATGTGATTCAAATGTTCCAATCCCCTCCATATCATGTGATTCAGGTGTTCCAATCCCTCCATATCATGTGATTCAGGTGTTCCAATCCCTCCATATCATGTGATTCAGGTGTTTCAATCCCCTCCCAATCATGTGATTCAGGTGTTCCAATCCCCTCCATATCATGTGATTCACGTGCTCCAATCCCCTCCCAATCATGTGATTCAGGTGCTCCAATCCCCTCCAATCATGTGATTCAGGTGTTCCAATCCCCTCCCAATCATGTGATTCAGATGTTCCAATCCCCTCCCAATCATGTGATTCAGGTGTTCCAATCCCCTCCCAATCATGTGATTCAGGTGTTCAAATCCCCTCTAATCATGTGATTCAGGTGTTCCAATCCCCTCCATATCATGTGATTCAGGTGTTCCAATCCCCTCCATATCATGTGATTCAGGTGCTCCAATCCCCTCCATATCATGTGATTCAGGTGTTTCAATCTCCTCCATATCATGTGATTCAGGTGTTGCAATCCCCTCCCAATCATGTGATTCAGGTGTTCCAATCCCCTCCATATCATGTGATTCAGGTGTTCCAAACCCCTCCCAATCATGTGATTCAGGTGTTCCAATCCCCTCCATACCATGTGATTCAGGTGTTCCAAACCCCTCCCAATCATGTGATTCAGGTGTTCCAATCCCCTCCCAATCATGTGATTCAGGTGTTCCAATCCCCTCCCAATCATGTGATTCAGGTGTTCCAATCCCCTCCATATCATGTGATTCAAATGTTCCAATCCCCTCCATATCATGTGATTCAGGTGTTCCAATCCCCTCCATATCATGTGATTCAGGTGTTCCAATCCCCTCCATATCATGTGATTCAGGTGTTTCAATCCCCTCCCAATCATGTGATTCAGGTGTTCCAATCCCCTCCATATCATGTGATTCACGTGCTCCAATCCCCTCCCAATCATGTGATTCAGGTGCTCCAATCCCCTCCAATCATGTGATTCAGGTGTTCCAATCCCCTCCCAATCATGTGATTCAGATGTTCCAATCCCCTCCCAATCATGTGATTCAGGTGTTCCAATCCCCTCCCAATCATGTGATTCAGGTACTCCAATCCCTTCCATATCATGTGATTCAGGTGTTCCAATCCCCTCCATATCATGTGATTCAGGTGTCCCAATCCCCTCCCAATCATGTGATTCAGGTGTTCAAATCCCCTCTAATCATGTGATTCAGGTGTTCCAATCCCCTCCATATCATGTGATTCAGGTGTTCCAATCCCCTCCATATCATGTGATTCAGGTGTTCCAATCCCCTCCATATCATGTGATTCAGGTGTTTCAATCTCCTCCATATCATGTGATTCAGGTGTTGCAATCCCCTCCCAATCATGTTATTCAGGTGCTCCAATCCCCTCCATATCATGTGATTCAGGTGTTCCAATCCCCTCCATATCCTGTGATTCAGGTGTTCCAATCCCCTCCATATCCTGTGATTCAGGCGTTCCAATCCCCTCCCAATCATGTGATTTAGGTGTTCCAATCCCCTCCATATCATGTGATTCAGGTGTTCCAATCCCCTCCATATCCTGTGATTCAGGTGTTCCAATCCCCTCCATATCATGTGATTCAGGTGTTCCAATCCCCTCCATGGACACAGGTGTATACAATCAAGCTCCTAGGCATGCAGACGGCTTCTACAAACATTGGTGAAAGAATGGGTCGCTCTCAGGAGCTCAGTGGCTCCAAGCGTGGTCCCGTGATAGGTGGCCACCTGGGCAATAAGTCCATCCGTGACATTTCCTGGCTACTAAATATTCCACGCTCAACTGTTAGTGGGATGATAACAAAGTGGAAGCCACTGGGAACAACAGCCACTCAGCCACCAAGTGGTAGGCCACGTCACATGACAGGGCGGGGTCAGCGCATGCTGAAGCGCACAGTGCGCAGAAGTCGCCAACTGTCTGCAGAGTCAATAGCTAAAGACCTCCAAACTTGGTGTGGCCTTCAGATGAGCCCAACAACAGTGCGTAGAGAGCTCCATGGAATGGGTTTCCATGGCCGAGCAGCTGCATCCAAGCCTTCCATCAACAAGTTCAATGCAAAGCGTCGGATGCCGTGGTGTAAAGCACGCCGCCACTGGACTCTAGAGCCTTGGAGACGTGTTCTCTGGAGTGACCAATCACGCTTCTCTGTCTGGCAATCCGATGGACGTGTCTGGGTTTGGCGGTGGCCAGGAGAACGGTACTTGCCTGACTGCATTGTGCCAAGTGTAAAGTTTGGTGGAGGGGGGATTATGGTGTGGGGGTTGTTTTTCAGGGGTTGGGCTTGGCCCCCTAGTTCCAGTGAAGGGAACTCTTAAGGTGACATTTTGGACAATTTCATGCCCCCAACTTTGTGGGAGGAGTTTGGGGATGGCCCCTTCCTGTTCCAACATGACTGACCACCAGTGCACAAAGCAAGGTCCATAAAGACATGGAGGAGCCAGTTTGGGGTGGAGGAACTTGACTGTCCTGCACAGAGTCCTGACCTCAACCCCATAGAACACCTTTGGGATGAATTAGAGCGGAGACTGCGAGCCAGGCCTCCTCCCCCGACATCAGTGCCTGACCTGACAAATGTGCTTCTGGAAGAATGGTCCAACCTTCCCATAGACACCCTCCTAAACCTTGTGGACGGCCTTCCCAGAAGAGTTGAAGCTGTTATAGCTGCAAAGGGCGGGGCCAACTCAATATTGAACCCTACGGACTAAGACTGGGGGGCCATTAAAGGTCATGTGTGTGGAAAGGGCGGGGCCAACTCAATATTGAACCCTACAGACTAAGACTGGGGGGCCATTAAAGGTCATGTGCGTGGGAAGGGCGGGGCCAACTCAATATTGAACCCTATAGACTAAGACAGGGGGACCATTAACCCCTTGACGCCGAGCGGCCGCATATTTGCCCCGTTTTCCAGCTTCCTGAAACACGTGACCTCTAAAAGAGACGCTTTCATCGCGCCCACTTTCTGATTCCCCTGTAGTTCCGGCACATGCGCAGTAGCTTCAGCCGATAACGCTTTTCATGGGATGTTCATCTTGCCGCTACACCGGCGCAGGATGTGCGTTGAATGTATGTCTACCTAGAGCTAGCTTGGCGCCAGCTTTAGGTCTATGTAGGGCTAGTTTTTTGGTGGAATCTACATTTAATCACGAATGTTTGTCAAAGGGGCGTGTCTGTGATAATGGCAATGCAACGCGTTCTTTCGGCCGCCATGTTTTTGTAGCCCAACTGCTGCTAAAGAGGTTTTGGCTGTTGAGGACGCCATTTTCTCGAGGATCACTTCCTCATGGCAGCGCGGCCTCTAGTGGTGGAGTATTTCTCAGTGGAAGTGAGCCGAAGGGGAACTTCGTCACGTGTCCTGTGGAAGTAGTGTGTCTGTGACAGGAATGAGACACGCGGTCTCATGCCGCCATTTTTCTGTAGCTCACATGCTGTATTTCATTGAGACGCCATTTTCCCGAAGATTATTAGTCTATAAGGCAGCGCGGCCTCTAGTGATGGAATATTCTCTTATGGAAAAGGGAGATAGCGGGAGATTCAAGCGGCTACTATGGTAGGACCCCCCCCCTCTCCCCTTCCTCCCCCCTTTTTTTTTTCCAGTCTTCAACTTTCATTAGCATAATCCCCGGTGATCCTGCCATGAAGGCCCTTGTTCAGGCACTTCCTGTTATAAGGTGACAACTCTGTGTCCCTGTTGTGCTCCTGTGTTGTCACCCTGTCACAGGCTTCCAATGGAGACAACAAGCGGCCACTTTTAACACACATTCTACGGACATGACCCACTGCTTTCCCTGGTGATCCTGCCATGAAGCTGCTTGTTCAGGCACTTCCTGTTATGGGGTGACAACACTTAACCTCCTGTCCCCTTATTGCATTCCTGTGTTGTCACCCCACCACATGGGCTTCCAGTGGCTGTTTGGAAACACATGACTCCGATATGGAAACCCGCCCTGAGAAATGCCAAGCAGCCGTCACTGGAGGGTACGGAGACAGGAAGTGGCAGCAAAGAGGCTGCAGGGGATCGGCGGCTCTGAGAGAAGACAAAAAAAAAAGAAATTGAACTTTATATTTAGAAATCTGAGGATTGCTGAGAAAACGCGGAGCGGAGTGAAGGCCGCCCAGTCCAGGCTGACGTCTGCTGTAGTATGGTAGATTGTCTGAGATTCCAGCGATTGGGCGATCTGCGTTCTGACCCCATGGCCTCTCTTTCCTCCGTAGATCTGATTGTGGGATGAAGACGCACGATTCCCAAAATGGAGCAGTTGGTGCAGTTGCAGTGCCCGGCCGGTGGTCTGCCCTCAGGTAGAGGCCTCCTTGCCCCCCGGGGCAGCGATCTCTATGTGTGCGGGGGTGGGGAATCCCTCCATGTCTTCTGCCTGCAGAGGAAGGCGATAACGGTAAGAGATTCGAAACGCACAATATGGGGGCAGCGGGGGACAGGTGGGGGGCAGCGGGGACAGGTGGGGGGCAGAGGGGACAGGTGGGGGGAAGAGGGGAAAGGTGGGGGACAGCGGGGACAGGTGGGGGGTGGAGGGGACAGGTGGAGGGAGGAGGGGACAGGTGGGGGGCGGAGGGGACAGGTGGAGGGAGGAGGGGGACAGGTGGGGGGCAGAGGGGACAGGTGGAGGGAGGAGGGGACAGTGGGGGTAGGAGGGGGCAGGTGGAAGGCGGAGGGGACAGGTGGGGGGCGGAGGGGACAGCAGGGACAGGTGGGGGGCGGAGGGGACAGGTGGGGGTAGGAGGGGGCAGGTGGAGGGAGGAGGGGACAGGTGGGGGGCGGAGGGGACAGGTGGAGGGAGGAGGGGACAGGTGGGAGGCGGAGGGGACAGTGGGAGGCGGAGGGGGCAGGTGGAGGGAGGAGGGGACAGGTGGGAGGCGGAGGGGACGGGGGGGTAGGAGGGGACGGTGGGGGGGCAGAGGGGGACAGTGGGGGTAGGAGGGGGGGCAGGTGGAGGGAAGAGGGGACAGGTGGGGGGCAGCGTGGACAGGTGGGGGGCAGCGTGGACAGGTGGGGGGCAGCGTGGACAGGTGGGGGGGCAGCATGACCGTCTCTTTAAGGCCCCCTTCACATAAAGGTGATTGGGAATAGTGGGCAGATTCTAAATCACAGAAAAGCGCACGACACGCATTTGGTGCCACGTATCCGGAGCGCCCCCCCGAATGCGGCCCAATAGTCAGACGGTGCCGGGTTCAGGACCAGCGTTTTGTCCCCGAGCTTCTTTGGAGCAACAGATGTGCATAGAGCAGCCCATTCACGTGGGAACACGCTAAGGACATGTGAATGGGGCCTCAATCGCACATTCACCACGTGATAAAACGCACTGCAACCGGCCATAACAATCACGCGGCAAACCGCATCGCACGAAGGTGAACCCATTCATGGAAATAAATCTTTATTGACAATGAACAGCACAGATGCTGCGTTGGTGATGGCCCCCCTCAGTCACATGACTCAGTTTATTGATAATAGACACTTTTTTTCTTCCAGGCTGTATATTTATTTCCTTCCAGAATCTTCCACGTGGAAGTGGACGCCGGTCACCGGCAGCTGTACGTCGTGTGTGCGCGGCGCGGAGTCTACCGCCTGGAATGGGATGAGGCGGGGAGGTGAGTCACCTGACATTGCCGATATTCTCACACGTCCCGCAAGTGTCGCTATGGACTTCTATTCTGTATATTATAATGTAGTAACCCTTTTACCGCCGCTGCGGGGGAGGGGTGTAGATACAGCCGCCGGGGGTTGTGTAAATCTGGCAATCCAGTGGCTGTGCAGCTGCCAAGTCGCTTCCACGCATCCAGTGAGTGACATTTATGTTTCCTCCGCCATGTTTCCCAGGATGCGTGCGCCCATTGGCTGACCTGGGACGGCATACCGGGGGCCTCCTAAAGGGGAGGGAGATCAGAGAACATCCACTCGCTGATCTCCTCTTCCTGCTAATGATCCAGCAGCCATGTGTAAAATGTCACTCCGGGTCTCGGTGTCACTGTCCCCACCTAGTAAGAAGCTAATCTGTCCTCCATCAGCTTCACTGGGGGGGGGGGGAGGTGAGACTTCAGGGGGGGGGAGGTCTTATTGGCCTTTTAAGCCTCCGTAAAGAGAACCTGTCTTCAAAAATAATCATATTTTTGTCCCTTATGTGATGCTAAAAATAAAGTTTATTAAAAACAAAAGTGGAAAAAATTTGTTACACCAAAGCACTTAACCCCACAAAATATTTTTGAGAGCCCCCCCCCCCCACCCCCACCCACACGTAGGAATGTAAACACGTGCGCCTACATACAAAACCGTTGATTGCACCGACATGTTACAAAGTGCTGCACAAGCCGGAGCGGTCACAACAATTCTCCTCCCATCATTTACATGTGACTCCACACTGATGACCCGGGGGCAGGCCCGGACTGGGAGCGCGACTAGGCCCGGACTGGGAGCGCGAGTAGGCCCGGACTGGGAGCGCGAGTAGGCCCGGACTGGGAGCGCGAGTAGGCCCGGACTGGGAGCGCGAGTAGGCCCGGACTG